TCAAATAATGTTACAAATATTAGGCCTAAAAAGCAAGGATTTTATTTTTCATATTTAATTTCTTGAATGAATGCATTTTTATTTTTTGGCAATGTTGGGATATTAGTCACATCCTGACATCTTTGTATGTTTATTTCATCATCGTTTTTAAATCCGTAGTCAGTAGATCATTCATAATTTTCAGTAAAAATGAATAGGCCTAGTTAAATAATTACCTGATGAAAATACTATCAACAATCAAACTGTCAACATCATCGTTGGACATGGTCAAATGCATCGTGACTTTTCTTCCCTGTTCGGACTGCAAAATACTTTACAGGATACTCTCAGGTCTTTTCTTTTTTCTTTCCAATTCTCACTTAAAATTTCAGTGTAGTGGTGAAGCGAGAAACACACGACAGCACAATGACTTTCTCCTGATCGGAATAGCCGTGCAACTTGCCTCGTTCCATATCGAAAATAAACAAGTCCTCCTTTATTGGTTCATCCACATGTATCACGCTAATCTAAAAGGCTTCTCAAATTCCTATGCTTTGAATTGTTATAAGACTTTCTCCTGAAAACGTCCTTTGTTTTTAGTCCTCACTCCTCACAATAAGTGACAACAAACATCATTCAAGTAGGACAGAGGAAATTCGTTTCCGAGATGCTTAGCATAGCTGGTTTAAATTCAACTGTTTCAAACGCTTTGGTGATTCACAAGAGTTATCTCCCTGTAAGCGCAAACCTTACCTTAATGGCACTTGTGCAGTGCACAGAAATCCGAAAAAAATTACTTAAATTCCTTTTGTTTATCTATCATAATTGTTAATTAATACTTGATTCAATTTTACAAGTGAGAATTAAACTTTGATTTTAAAAAGATTTAGTTTTAACCCTGACTATTTTTTTTCAATGATGATCTTTTTTTTTTTAAATTTTGATTGTAATTAAATTACCCCCCACCCCCACCCCCGGAATTTGGATAAGTGACTTTGTTGCTGCCACACAAGGACGAATACTTCTTTTTTTTTCAATTGCAAACCCCTGACACTTATAATACACTTATAAACCCCTGACACTTATAATACTCATAAACTGTGATTGTTAGATCTAAACACTCTAGACTGTATACATTAGAAAAATCAATGATCATGCAGTAATAATCAGTATGTTTTCATCGCTCAATCAATCAATATACAGATATATACATAACTAGTAATCTATTTGGAGGAAATTTTATGTTTCAACTTTTAAATAAAGTCCAGGCTGTTGGGAAGACGATTTTTATCAGGTCAAAAGCATATCCATCCATGAGGAAAAACAACCTACCTTATACTCAAATGGTTTGATGGTGTTCAGTGTTTATAGTTGTTTGAACTTATGTTTACTTTGTCCGTTTTTTTTTTCTCTGGAATTTCATTTAGCATTACGATATTTATTTATGAACACATATATACATGTATTAACACTATTAATATAATGTTTGATCTGAATAAATAGTGACATATAAACTGTAATGATTGATTTGTTTTAAAATGACTGTTTCATTATATAGCTATATAAAATCAATTGATGTAAATATATATAAATACATGTATATATACCAACATAAAAACTATGTCAAAATTTGATTACTGATTGATCGTTAATTGATTGGTTGATGCAGGGAAGTATATACTAATACTTAAAATACTTAGTATATGCATCCCTGATTGATTTATGTGCAGAAGGATATGGAAATAACGAACAGTATTTCAATCTGCATTGTTAACATTCATAGCAATCCCTGACATTTCAAGACGTCTAGCATTTAATTAAAGACTGATTCTATCAATTGGAAAAATTGAGTCGGTGTACTAATTAGTATAAAATTACAGACTTACAGTCATTTAGTAAACTTTTACAGACATTTTACTTTTATTTTTTAAATATTAAAAAATCTTAATATAAAAACAGGAAATACATATTGTTTTCATTGAAAATTACTTATTAAGAAGTATTTTATATCATATGACAGAATCCAATATTACAAATCAATTCATATATAACCAGGTGAAAATATCAGCAGATGCCTCTACAATCATTGGTTCAGAAAAGCAGGGAGTGGACACTGCAGCCATTCTTTAGGTCTTCTCTACCTGGTATCGCATTACCAGAAGCTTGGACTTGCAGGTTTGTACAAAACTTAAGCTCATAATATTTCAGTACAATGAAAGTCACGCATTGTAGAGTTTACAATAACAGTATTTAATATGAATCTATAACATTAATGTTACACTTTTACAGCTGTTCCACCAGTCCAGAGCAGGACATCACTGCCACAGACATGGCATATTCCAAGTAGAGTGGAAGGACTTGCTCCGAAATCTGTGGATAAATCAAACCACAACAGTGTCCCCCAAAAAGAAAAAGAGGGTCACTGAAGGCATTTTGCCCAACATTTACTGCCCTAGCTGTTGAGAAACCCATTTCATCTGACTTTTCTCAGCAGTTGATGCTGAACTTGAAATCTGTTGGAAGTGATGCACAGGTAAGCCATTTTTTTTAAGTTTTAAAATCATAAATCACTTGTGCCATGTAACTGCATAGATTTTTATAATTAGAAAAGATTTGTGTTATTTAAAGAGGTAACAATTTTAGCAAAAGTTTATAAAATTACAGTACAATACATGTATTTTGAAAAATATTGCTTCCAGATTTCTCAAATCCAAAAACATAATGACAGCTCAGATGAAATTCGGCATAGAAAATGAGCCAGTTGCTGCCAAAATCTATAGTGAGATAACGGGCAATAGTGTGTATCTGTGTGGGTTTGTGATAAACCCTAGCGCTCCATATCTCGGCACATCACCAGATAGAAAAGTGTTTGATCCAAATGCAACTCCAGAGTATGGACTCCTTGAAATAAAATGTCCAAGCAAACACTCGTTCACAGAGTGTAAATATCTTGTACAAAACAAGAACAATTATTCATTTAAACTGAGGACCAGTCGTGGTTACTATTTCCAGATCATTGGTCAAATGGCACTAACTGGACTGAAATGGTGTGACTTTTTTGTTAAGTGTAGAGATGACTTTCACATGGAAAGAATATCTTTTGATCAGGACAAATGGGATTCAATGAAGTCTTCTTTGGATAAATTCTATTTTGAGGGAATGCTTCCACAAATATGTCACAAGGATTAAACAGTGAAAGCAGCATGTATATTGTGTGGGAATGTTATTCGACATGAATCCGAACAAAAACATCCATGTAAAACATGTATTTTCTGTTAGTGTAGAAAAATTTTATATGTATAATTGTAGTACTTAGTAATATTATTTATTAAATGTGTCACACTTATCATAATATTATAATTAATTGTAACGTAGTCTATATAAACTGATTGTGAACACATGAATCCATTTACAGATTATATAAAATATATTCATTTTTATGTTATAACAATTCAGCAGTTAGTTTAAAATCAATTTTCACTATGTAGGATCAATGCAAATCTATTATTTTTTCATTAAAATTGTTTGCATTTTTTAAAATGTAAAATTCATTTGTAGAATCCTTGATTTGAAGATAAATTATAACAATTTTTCCCCCCATTGTATACATGGAATACAGAAACTTTATGAATAACTTTTGTAAATATGACACACATTCACATGTATTCTTTTATTAAATCTTTAATTTTTAATAATACATTTCAGAACAATAAACAAATATAAATGTTTTTTGTCTTTGTATGAGTCAGTTTGAAATATAAAATATTTTACATACATCACTGTTCATCATGTACATGATCAGGTTTTCAATATTTATCAGGTTTTGAATAATTGATTTAAGGACCCTCTCTACACAGTGCAAAAACATTTTTGGACATTTAGAAAAATTAATTGCATAAAGGAGTTAATATGGTGCTTATCTATCTAATTTTCAATGTATGGTGCATGGTATTTACCCCCGGGAAAAATGTTCAAAGACAACACAGGATCAGTGAATAGATATTGCTGTTAATTAGGCTGCATTTCATTTCCGGAATTTTGAGCAATTATAAACTCTTCATTTCCGACATTTTTTTTGTTTTCATTTCCGACATTTTTCAGATATTACCTTTAGTAACATATTTGAAGACTTTACCTATGAAAAATTTAAAGGAATACAAATAATAAATAAATCGTTGAAATCCAAGTTCTGAGGTTTTATAGATTTAAACGACTGTGAAAATGGCAAATGCAAGCAACTAGGCTACCTAAATTAAATTGCAAGTGATTGACTCAATGTTAACTATGCGCAGATATAAAGCAGATAAAGTTATGTGTAGAGCAATGAAATAAATGCGTTATCAATCGGAATAAACGTTAACACTCGATTAGAATATCTCAAGTGTCTTTGACATAAGTTTGGTGCTGTCACTGATATTTATTTTAGTGCACATCAAATGAGGGGAAAGGGTTGTATGTTGTATGCTCATTGAACTTTTAACTCAGACTAAGTGCATGTATGTATATATGTATAATAATATAATTTTAATCAATATTTTGCAATAAATACTTTTAAAATTTCATTTTTCACTGACTATATATTGAGGAAAACATTAAATTGCAGCACAGGTAAATTCCGGAGCTGAAAACAAAATTATGTCAGAAATGAAATAAAAAAATGTCAGAAATGCTATGCAGATTTCCGGAAATGAAATGCAGCGGTTAATTAGTTTAATAAAAAAAATACATGTAAACAACACATTCAGTTAATTTAGCATGGCCTTTTAAAATGTTAAGAATACTTGAATTGATTACAAATATGAAATTGAGTAATATTGTGTAAATTTGTATTTTTTTGAATTTACTTCTATGGGCAGAGAGTACACTCTAACTGCAGAAAAATACCTTAGAATCAGAACTCTTAAGTGTGCAGTATAAATAGGGTTCTTAATTATTGATTTGCAAAAATGCTAATGCATGTAAACTCAAAAGATATGAATATAATTAAACACATTACATTTTAACACATATCTAGCAATGTTTTAAAATAATGCCCCCCGAAAATTTGTCAAAATAACACACACGGTCCATATCTGGTTGATTGATGGTGCCAGATTCAGGGGAATAACTCCGTCAAAGATGTGGTACTCCTTTATCCTTCTGATCGCCCGCTTAACATGAATTCGCAGACGTGCGATTTCATGGGTTGTAGAAACCTCATTTCTGGAAAACTTCCCTTTTGCTCCTAAGAAAGGAGGAATGACTAGGCCAGCATTTTTGGCTTGAAGTAGGTCAGATATTAAAAATCCCTTGTCTGCCATGACATCATCATATTCTTCAAGCAGATCTAGTATTCCCGATCTGGCTGTGATATCTTTGTCAGAAATCCCTCCAGTGTATAGAGAACTAACAAACAAAACAGTTCCACACGGTGTAATACCAACAAGACCCTTGAATGTGGTGTGGCTTTTGTAGTTCGAGTAAATCTGTGAGTTCAGAACCTTTGAGCTAGGGGTCTGTACTTTTATTTCTGTGCAGTCAAGTATCACACGGGTAAATTGGTATGTAAGTCTAAAACTCTCTGGCATGTTCCTATTTACTGCAGTTCTTGAAGGCCGTAGAGGCAAACTGCCAAGCATAGCATACAGGTAGTTTGACCATGTGATCAAAATTCTGCTTACAGATGTTTGTGACATACAAAATCTGACCGCTAGATCTTGTTCGGGGAAGCCTTGTCTAATTCTACAGAGGAAGACAAAGAACTCGTCAATCAGGGACAGATGATGACTTTCCAAACTAAAAGTTATTTTTTTTACTTTTTCTAAATCTGCTCCCTGTCTCTGCATCCGAGTCCATCGAATCATTGTCATAGCTGTTGGTTTGAGAGCACTAAATACAGCTGTCAATGTTTGGTAATCTTTGAATCCTGTGTAGAAATTAATCATGTTGTCGTCATTGTGAAATCGTTCTAATCCAAACTTTGCTTCTTTTAGAGCTATGTTCTCCTGCTCAAGTTGCTTCAGTTCTGCTTGCGCTGATTCAAGTTTTGAAGAATCCGATTCCTGTTGTACAACATAGTCATTGTCAAATGTTGCCAGTGGAATTTGTACACAATCATGTTCATTACTCGCAGATGTTGATGCCATAACATTTTCACCATCACCCTTTTCAATCTTGACTCTGAAATAAAAAAAAACCCACACAATATTCATCAAGTTGTATTTAAGCATGATTATGAATATATATATTCAGGCATTTTGAAAGTATACATGCATACACAGTACCAGTGTACAGATTTTATCTGCTAATTACATGTTGAGAAAATTTGGAAATGATAATTTATTAAATTATTTAATTTTCAATTTTTATTTCTAAATATATTCTGTAAAAATCAAACTGAGAAATTTCCTTCTGAATAATAACATGAAAAAAAGTTTTATCGACTTATTATTGTAAATTAAAAAAAAATTAGGTGCTTGTGAAAACCTAACTAATCTACACAAACTTTAAATCATAATACAAGATAATTATACTGTATTACATAATATTTAATGAATAATCAATATGATTTGAAAGGGTCATAGGCCTAAAATAGAAATTTGTTTGCTTGCAGTTGCTTAATAACCTACTGAAAATGCACCTGACCCTAAGGTGTCTTAGTTTCCACTCCAGTGATAAGTCTAAATTGGGTTGAAAATAGTTCATTTTGGAGGTCAGATGTAAATATATTTGGCAGGAGAAACAAAATACATGGTTATTGTCCATGTTGTCTTGAAATATAAGCGATATTTGGGCTCGGGTCGAAAACGTGTTCGTCAAGTCTTGCCTTCTGTCAAGTTTTCTTACCCTCGCCCAAATATTGCTTATATTTGAAGACAGTAACCATGTATTTTATATATCTAACAAAGACTTGAAAAATACAATCTTTTTTCAACAACAAAAAACCCATTTACTTACCCACTCTAGAAATTATGGGTCGACAACTGCAAACAATGAATTTTTTTATGCTTGCCTTATATATACTACAGAGTTGTAATTCTATAAGAAAATTCATTATAGATCTATCATTTAATTTGAAAAATGCCTCTAGAACTAATTCTGCACCTACATACCTGTCCATACAAAGTTACAAACAGGATTTTACATAAATTCATTTATACAAAACTTACACTGATCTGCGCTGTGGTCCCAAGCGCTTTGCAGGTGTCTTTGTCCTAGCAAATTTTGTTGGTACAGCACCAAGGATAAGTTTTATCTTTCCTGCAAGTGTTTTATTTATGTCCGCATCTTCAAAATGTGCAGAACACACAAGGCCATTATTTGTTATCTGAATACAGAAAATAAAATTCATTAAGCACACATGCAAATAGCTTAACCTAGCACTTATTTATTTCCATAAAAATGTATGTCTAACATGTGTATTTGAGTGTCTAACTGGCCCTACCCCTTCCAAAGTCAGTTTACAATGTGTATATATATGTATCTATCAGGTCCAGCACAATATGTCTAGTTCCTTGGCATTGGTGGTGATGAAGCCCTCTTCCCTGTTGTGGTAGTCTTGTTTTATGAAACGAATGGCTTTACGTTGGACACGCTCGAGCTTATCTATGACCTGTTTCTGAAATGGGTCCCAGACTATTTATCCATATTCAAGTGTTGATCGCACCATGGAGACGTAGGCTGTTATAGTATTATATTATAGTATATAGCTTTATCAATTAAGCTTATATACCTTTATAGGGGTATTGTGCTGGACCTGTCTATATCTGACCACTGTTATCTTCATGATGTATTTGTCTTTAATTTCGCCGTATCGTGGTTATGTGCATTTTACATTGTATTGTAAGTTTTGTAACTCTGCAATGCATTATGCATGTGCAGTAGGCGTGTACACATGATCAGATTTTGTAGATTTTATTTACTATTAATAAATTCACCGCATCGTATATAATAAATTATAATAGCACATATTTCTTCAACTAAAAGAAACCTCCTTCGTGGTTGTCATGTTTGTTTATTTGCAATAACCAACATGAATGATTGAAAAGTACTGATGTAGGCCTACACTAGTATAGATGCAAATGGATGCTTTACCTGGAAATTTCGCCCTATGTCACGGCGAATTTTGACAATCCATTGTTTTCTCAATTCCCTATCACTTGGAAAGCGATGGAACGACAAGAGGTTCTTCTCGTCATAACGGGAATCATTCGTACAAAGAGGTACGCAACAATGGTACGCGGACATTTTGTTTGCGCTGAGAGCCTCGTTTTAAAACCGGAAGTTGTCAAACGTGAATAAGAAGTATATAAGACAACGTTGTGTCACACATACCTTTCTTATCAATTGGATATCTGGACTCCGTCTTTCATAGAATAGTTTCAAAGACTATTGTGCAATATCCTAAATGTATTATTTTTAGTAAGGGTTTTTCCCATACTAGGGTAAATACTTTTCTATAAATAGATGTTTACCTAAACACTTTATTTTTGTATGGCTTAATACACCAAATCACATATTGTACCTTTTTGTAAATGTGTTCTTACGTTTTCATACTCAGTTTACTGATACTCTTGTGTTTACAAGTCAAATTTGTGTTTTTTGTATATATATTTTTCGTTCAGTACGTATTCATTTCTTATGCGTTTTGTCTTATTCCAACCATACCGGTTTCATTTTAACTTTTATATACAGCATATCCGATGTGTGAATCCATGCCATCCAAATCAAATACTTCTATAATGATTTTTGACACAAATGATTAAGGTGATTATAACTATTTTAGGATGTCATGGATAAACTATCAGTTAGATTGTTGTGTATGTTTAAATCTACATTTTCGTCGTATTATCATATATTTATTCTGTTAATGTTAGGGTGCATAGAGACCAATCCTGGCCCCAGTTTCATAAAAAATAGCCATAGTAGCAAACTTTAAAGTATAGTTCATAACAATGTTTGTAACAAAATTAGATATCATAACTTCAGAATTATCAGCATATGATATTATTACCCTTAGTGAAATACATTTAGATAATAGCATAAGTAATGAAAATATCTCAATAGAAGGATTTCACCCACCTATTCGAAAGGATAGAAATAGGCATGGCTGTGGTGTTGCTATATACATCTCGGACCAATTAGCATACTATCTTCGAATGGATTTGTTAACCGATGTACTAGAAATTCTTTGGTCAGAAATACAAAATGGCAACAAAAAATTTTAATAGCTGTACTTTATAGGCCCCCATCTTCACTGGTTAGCTATTGGGACTTATTTAGCTCAAACTTGGAAAAGGCACTTGAATGTAATCTCCCAATATTCCTACTAGGAGATTTTAATGTTAATGTTTTGTCAAATCAAAGTAGCAGTTTCAAACTAATACTACAAAAATTAAATTTAACAAATATTATTCATTGTCAGCTAAGAAATAATGCTAGTAGTTTAAATGTTGATTTACTGAAAGGTTATATAAGTGATAGCTCAAAATGTGAAAATTGTGATTTTCATATGGAAAATGCATATCATTTTTTCTTTGAATGCCCATGTTATGTTGAGCAAAGAAACACTCTTTTTCACTGTATATCTAGTATAGACCTGCAAAATCCTATTCCAATTTCCCAAAATCTTTTATTATTTGGTGATAGTAGTATTTCATATGCAAAAATATGAAATTATTTGATTGTGTTCACAAATATATATCATCAACCTAAAGGTTTCATAAATGAAGTGTAACAATGTAATACTTATTCCAGATTAAGTCTTAAATTAAATACACATTCATTGTATGTTTATAAATTGCTGTAGTTCTCGTTTTTTAAAAAGTTTTTTTTTTCAGTTCATTTCCACATTTATAAACCGGTAATTATTTGTTGTTGTTTTTTTCTTTCTTACTTATGTATCTTTCTTTCCCCTATGTTCTATTTAAATTTGTGTCAGTTATATATCTCTTTGGTCATATATAAACCTTTTACTATATGTGTATTAATTAACCTTGTACCTTTGGAGAGGGCTCATATAGGCTATGCCTGCTGCCCAATCCAATTATGTATTTTACATAATAAAATATGTTCAAATCAAAAACATTCAATGGCCTGAATGATCTACAAAATGGTGGTCCAACTCATTCAGAATGTTTTAATTTGGAAAGTGTCTCTTATGCAAAATGAAATGAAACTAAAATGCAAAAAAATACAAAAAACTCTTAATATGTTATACAATCATGTGTACTTTCAGAAAATCTTTCAAGATGCTGTATTATAAATCATCTACTGTTACTTTTTTAGCATTACTTCATGCATTTTCATGAAGAAACGTAAATAATATTATTGCATTTTTTTTTTACAAATAAGCAAGAATATTCATGAATGCTAATGGTTCATGAATTTTATTCATTCATGAACATTCCTGAAAAATCATCAAATTATTCATGAATAGTTCATGAAGATGCAAATCATCAAACTATTCATGAATAGTTCATGAAGATGCAATGAACTTATTATTGGACATTCTTGAAATGACGAATCTTCATGAATTACTCATGAAAAAAAGAATATTCATGAATATTCATCAATTTTCTTTCATGGATAAAAATTTCATGATTTGAAAATGTCCAATAATAAGTTAGTGACTCGAAAGATGTTTAGTCTTACTGTCTTTTTAGTTCCCTCAGGTGACCATTTGTTACCTGTTGCTGCATAGTTTCCGGATATGATGAAGACTCTCCATGGTTATCTAGATAACAGCCGTTTCTTTCAGTCAGACTTTCCACAGGGTAACGTGTAGATGGAATCACGTTTTCTTGTCTGTTACTGTCTCTACTATCTGTTGCTACATAGTTTCCGAATATGATGAAGACTCTCCATGGTTGTCCAGATAACCGCCGTTTCTTTCAGTCAGACTTTCCATTGGGTAGCTATAGCGTGCAGATACATGCAGGTCACTAACACTGCATTTTATTTTGGAGATTACGTCGATATTTTGGCACTAAACGAGGTACTGTGTCAAGCAATGATATATGATTGATGCTGACTAGTTACTTTTCTGAGATATATTTTGTAGTAAGTAGTATATTAATGTTCCAATAGTGTTAACTAAAAAAATAATAATCATTCAAGCTCAATAATTGTATTGATGATGTTGGTAATAATTACGACGAAACATATACATTAGGAACACCTTTTAGTGACCTTGAACTTTTGAGAAAAATGTCATTATAAAGGGGACCGACTATAGTTTTATTGTTTTAAAACTACTATAGCGACACTTTTCATTTTTATAACTTCAGAAAGGGCTGCAATGGACGGAATTGGTTCTATGTCTCCAGATTTCAAAGTCCATATGTTGGTTTTATATGTTTGTCCCTCCTTAAAGTCTTTACGGTCTCCATTTTGTAATTCTTCTGATGACATAAATAGATTGTTTAAATAAGAAGAACCAGGATATGGTGAAACTCAGTGATAGTGTTAGTATGCAGTATGTACACAGTAGCCATAACACAAACAAATATCAGGCTAAAAACAGTTTTAGGGTCAATGAATGATAATGAAATTACAAAACTCGCTACATTCTGCTTTTAATGATGCAGAAGTATAAAGATTAAATCTTAGATAATGTAATTGAAATTATATGAAAAATTCAAAGAAACGCACACAATTAAAAAAAAACAAACTATTATGATTCTCTGTCCATTTCTTCACCAAACTCTAATGAATTTGAGTGTCTGTACAGTTCTAATTCAACAATATAATGAGCCAAAATGTCTTTTTAATTTACTGTAGCTAATTGATGTGCAGTACAAGTAAATGATTTGTGAACTGCAATATATTATATGCAATATATTAAAAGATTTTAAATTTTACAATTCTTCCTGTTACCATCAACAGGTAGCAGCCATTTAAGGATAAATAACACAAACAACGATAAATGGTTTCATGAATTCTCTGCATGGTCGATTAGTAATGTTTATTGTATTGGTCTTTGTCCGGAATTATTTATTATTTGAAATGTGAAGAATGACACCACAGTTTGCTCCATTTTGAAGCTACTATGATAAGTAATAGGTAAGCATTAACAATAGGGAAATTGATCATGTTGATTTATAATTAGCTATAGGATGAATTAATCAATGATCAATCCTTACAAGTGTTTATATAGAAAATATCAGTGTCTGTAAGCATGGTAAGGTATTGTGAAGTTTGTTTAATATTTAAGAATCTGATAATTGACAATAAATTTTAGTGTTCAGGGACACTTGCACCAAAAGTGGTGGATATAGTAGTTTACCATATTTTACTCCTTGGCAGTGCATGTAATAAAGTTTTCAAATGAGCTTCTTGTTATGTTTTATATTTTTTTTCGTCCAGAGGCTTAGAGGATGATTATTTCATACATACATGTATATGATAAAATCTGAAGTAAATGATATGGATTAGGATTTAAAAATTTTAACACTGCATGTTTTTTTTTTTTCAATTTCATTAACTATACACATCAACATTATTCTAAAGGAATGCATACCCTGTCCACTGTTCCTTTTAAGGAAAACCTTGTGCCCTTCTGCTTTGTTTTGATGGTAGCAATATCTTCCAGTGGAGGTCTTGTGAACTGCTGTTTTGTCTGCAGACTGATTTGTTCAGTGGCAGTGTCAAAGACCTGCACCATGAAGAAAAATATTATTGGGGTTTTCAAGCCATTGACAAACAGATTTAAATTTTGCTTATATGAATACAAATATGGCATGATAGTTCAAGCATTAATTATAGGACCTGCAGACAGAAAAGAAATCTGTGGATAAAATACGAGTTTGAGGTAAAATCGGAAAATTTAAGAAATATAGTTCCAAATTCTTCAGATAAATAATAAGATGTAATAAGCTATATTTCCATTAGTTAACTCTTCAGAATTATAGTCAGTTTGGCCGTCTGAGTGGGACAGCATTGCATTGCAAACAATACAAACACGTGACAAGACATGCCAGAATCATTTTAATTTAAAATGTTAATTGGCTTTTTCATTCAGCTAGGTGACATGTGAATTGAACTGAATGCTGGTAAAGGGAAATCTATCAAAGTAATTTTATGAATACGTGTATTTAGTTAGTTGATGGCAAAATAAGCAGAGTAAAAGAAATGAATATACTAGTAAGTAGAAGTATTTCAGTATTGGAGTAGTCAGAAAGGCGGAATCCCCAATCTTGCCTCATGGCATACTCTCTGACAATGAGTGATCTGTTGATGGAGGATTTCACTTCTCAGGCATGCAGGTACTGGAAGTTAGTAGTCTTTGCTAAAACATAGGTAATTCCATAAGACTTTCCATCTTGAGTTGACCTCTCCTTTGTGGGTATAGTCAAACTTCATCATCTAAAACTCAATGGGACCGAAGAGAGAAACTACATAATGACTATGGTTTCAAGATATTAATGGTAAAATACATAAAAAAGACGTCAAAAAACTTAAAGATGTATGGTACCAAAGGTACAGAATTTGAGATATCGAAGTTTAACTTAAGCATTTAAACATGTCATGAAAAGGGAACTTACATTTAAAATCATCTCATTCTGTTTAACAATGCTTACATAAGCATGAGAGCCAGGTGTTTACTGCAAAACTGTGTCCTTACAACAAAACAAACTGATTGTAAGTAATTGGCACTGTTATACCACTTATTAAATGATCATAGAATTGTTATAGTTACATACTTCAAACTTTTAAAATAATCCAACCGGAGTGTCTTTAAGTTTTTTTTTTCAATCAAATATTACAGTGGAGTCGCCAATTCCGGGGTCGTCTCCAATTCCGGGTCACTCGCGTGTATTTAATGCCTAGTGTTAAAATTTAAGCGCAAAAAACTTAATGAATACGCTAGTCATGAAGAACTGGTCTTTCTGTATGTAATTAATAAAAAAAAATCGTATATAAACTTGAAGACAGCATCCAACAATCGAAATTCTGAAACGCACGCATTAAAGACTTGAATGTTTCTGCTGTGGTGACGGGCTTTTTTCGTATTTGTTCGCTGCAGAAACATCCAGAAGACCCGTAGCTCCTTCGATACTAGCCAGGGTAATTTTAAAGGGAATTTGAATGCTTCCAGCCATCCTTCCCAGTATCTGTTGCAGGACGGATGTAAATACATGGAGAATTAGAGTCAAACGACCTAACTGATCCATGTATTTAGATCCGAGAGGACTCCTAATGGATTCCATGTCTTCTGCACTATCCTCCTCATCGCTGCTGTCTACAACCATGGCCGAAGACTGTTCAAGCACGCCGAGCGTACTTTTTTCTCTATCTCATCAAGGACCTATATACTAACGGGATAGGCAACTCCTTCATCGCCATGTTTATTTACCAAAAACATCAGGCAAGACACTACAAGTTTTTCAATTTACGTTTATTCCCAGTAAACAGGGTGTTTTCTGATTATTATCATTTATTCCTTTTATATATTGGAATTGATTTATTGAAAAATTTTAAAGCATAATAATATAATAATTTAAATATAAAGAAAATAAACACCGAAATCGCCGATTTCTCGGAAATATGGCGGATCAGGGCATGTGCTGATTTTGCATAAAACAATATTACTTCTAAGATAAGGAGTTTAATATGTGCTAAAAACAAATCTTGGATGATTTTTTGACAGATGTTTAAAGGATTTGATCTCAAACAGGTGATAGCGATAGAAATATAGTTAATTAAAGTTGACTTACGAAATCCCGCGACTTACGAGATAACGCGAGACTTGCGGTAGTTGCCTATCCCGTTAGTATATAGGTCCCTGATCTCATTAAAATACTCCTGTGCTTCATTCTAGGAGTATCTCCTTCATGTACACGAAATGTCTCTTGATACACAGGATTTAATAAGTGCAACAAATACTGAGACTTGATTTCTTCATGGGCTACCGTAATCTTCTGAAAGAATTGTTGCATATAATCTTTACTTAAAATAAAAACACTCAAAGTTATGCTTTTAACAAGGCTAATTCATTGTTAAGATAAATGTTCTTCTATGTCTTCATTCTTGCACATTTCTTTTTGTACACGTGCTTGCCATAAATTGGGTAACAATTTTATTCGATACAAGAATGCTGTCAATTTTCTCGCCCTTTTTTTAATCATTTAGTTACAAGTATAAGAAGATATCTTTAGTAATAAACACAATTTATTCATTTCTGTTCTTTTCCGTACTCTAATAATAATAAATAATGTAAGTCCAATTAGAAACTGAAGAATGTAAAGTGTTGCCAATACAAATACCAGCATAATTTACTCACCCTCCAGAGTACATGTATGCTGGCAACATCCAAAAATCTTTGGAACAACCGGCTCACTGCTATCTTTCATTTCGGAGATGATCTCACCCATGCAATCTGGCTGAGTGAATCCTCCAACACAAAGGCAAGGGTTTGATATTTCAACATCTGCCTTGCTGGCATAAGCAACACTATGTCTCCTTCCTCTCCATAGGGTGAGGAGTAGCTGTCGATCGTTCACCTGTAATACAATAAAAAAATCTGTATATTCAAATCTCCTCAGTGTATAAAATAATAACATATACTCAGTAATTGTTGATTTATATATTCCTATAATGAGAAGTGGACTATACATAGACAGGGTCAAGGGTACTGGTGTTAGGGCGGGGCTTTATTGATTATAGTGAAAATACGTTAAGTGTCAGTGTATAGTTATGATGAGTAATGGTTCCTTTTTCAAAATTTTGAATGCCATGGTGTCTAGTTTAAAACATGTACCAAACTCAATCATGCATTGGAAAGTTGTTGCATGATGCTCAGGTGACTATAAGTCCCATGGGCCTCTTGTTTTATTTGCCACACATTATGGGTTTTCCACAGCAATATATGGATACTACCATTATATTCATATGGGAGGCAGCAAGGGGCTTGTGTGTGTTATCATTTATTGAGCTCATTGCTCAAAGTACCTTAAGATTTTACCTAGTGTATAATAGCTAGATATTTTGTTTAAACAAATAGAAAATACATACATTAACTACTAGTATTTCTGCAGGTCAAATGGAGAGCCTGCAGTGTAGTGCTACACCTGCAGCTTCTGGCCATGTTTATACAGGAGGGTATTATCTCTGAGTCTGACCTCGTCATTCGATAAATTGAAGCTTGTATCCATTACCTGAGAATTGTATTTGAAATACCTGATGATATAAATAGTCTTAAAATAGATAATTCCAGTGAAAACAAAGATAAAGAGGATGACTGTAAAGTAAGCATTGAAATGACATATTAAAGAAACATTTCTATTAAATCAAAGTTTCACATTTATTGTGAATTAAGAAATATTTTTAAATCTAATGAAAACAATATGTTAAGAAATATTAAATAGGATTAGAATGAGGAAGTATGTGATATTACTTATTTGAAAAAAAAATATTGAAAAACTATTTGATATACCATTATATTTTTTTTTCGAAAACAGAGGACATAAAATTGTGTTTTATTCAAGTTATTGTTATTCATAATGCATTTTCACTATATAATCAATAGATCCCCGCCCTAACACCAGAACCCCTGACCCTGGGGCCATAAAATTCACAATTTTAAAAGAGACACTTTCACTTATCATAAAGATGTACATTGTTATTATGTTCCCCAAACGAAGTTGGGGAACATATTGTTTTTACTCTGTTTCTTATTATTATTATTATTATTAAGGTCTTCCGTCTCCAACGGAAGACCTTATTGTTTTCGTTCGGTTTCTTTTTCTCTATTATTATTATTATTATTATTATTATTCTTTTTTTTTCTTACCGATTTTGTGCACGCGAGTTCTCGGAAACGGCTTGGTCGATTTTCACGAAACTTTCAGATCTGATAGATATTGGTCTGAACCTTATTGGAAATTTTTTATATGTACGTCGTCACTTCCGGTCGTGAGATATGGACGATTTACTGATTTTCAGAGGGTCAGCTTGTCCTGGCAATCACTAAAAAACGAATGAAGATATTGACTTGAGATTTTCAGTGAAGGTAGAGGAAGGATATCTGAATTGCTTTTTTGAGTCTATATTTTTCTAACGCAAAAGGTGTTGAAGCTCTCTTCAGCTCATTATTATTATTGTTTTTCTGACCATCTAATTTTGTGCACGCGATTTCTCGAAAACAACTGGATGGATTTTCATGAAATTTGCAGGGACAATGTGTTTTTATCTGAAGTTATTTAATCCAAGAGATTTTTTTGGAAATTCCTTTTTGGTGCTAAGTTACGGACAATTTTCTGATTTTAAAATGACATTTTGTTCGCGAATAATCTCAAGAACGGTAAAAGATATCACTGTGAAACTTTCAGGGATTATAGATCGTGATAAGAACTATCCAAGACGCGATCTTTTGTACGTCGTCTCTACTTCCTGTCGTAACGGCATGCAAAGAAAAAAAAGTCGAAATTTTCAACTTTTTAGTTTTCCAATATTTTAAAATTATATTAGTATGGCTGATAGAAACATATCTCATTAGGCTAAATATGTAATTTGTTTGTAAATTGATAAATTCAAACTCGAGATATTAACATTCAAAAATATGAAGCGGGATCAAAATGGCGGCGGTCTTTGTCAATTCCGACATTTCGCAATAGGGGTTTACAGAGGCAGCCAAGCGTTAGCTTGAACGAAAGTTACATAAGGAACAATGAAATTTGTAAGGATACTTGGATTGTCACGTCGTAGGTTCGTTGCAATTCTGCGCCAAACTTCATTTATAATCCAAGGTCTCCTTACAAGTCTTCTTTAATTGGTTTTGGTTGGTTCTCAAAGTAGAAATAGAAAAGAATTAATGTGCAAATTGAGTACAATATCTACTATCTTTTGTTTTGCATCACGGAAACACATAACTTAAATCATAGTTATAATTAATAGTTTTTCAAGAAACAATATATATAGTAAGTACGAAACGTGACCACTGGTTTCCCATGCACACTTGTGTCATATTAAACTAATAGAAAGGACAACTGTTACAATAAGAAAACATTTTTTTAAAGATAATTATTTTTCAGAGACCGTTTAATTAACCTCTACAAATTTTTTTTTCTCAATGCAAGTTATTGAACATAATGGAATCTTATTCCTTGACCCACGTAGGACGATCGAGGAATTTTTTCGGTGAAACATACCACCTTTTTTATGAAAGTGTAGGTAATCGGAATGGTCCACTTTCGTGATTAAGAAGAATTCTTGTGCCTTTTGACATTTTTATCCTATTAATGTTATTATCCCAACACAGGTCGTATACAACGAGATATCGGACGGAAGACCTACTCGTTGCTCGCAACGAGATCGCATCTAGTTATTCTTTTTTTTTCCTACCGATTTTTGTGCACGCGAGTTCTCAAAAACGGCTTGGTCGATTTTCACGAAAATTTCAGATCTGATAGATATTGGTCTGAACCTTATTGGAAATTTTTTATAAGTACGTCGTCACTTCCGGTCGTGAGATATGGACGATTTACTGATTTTAAGAGGGTCAGCTTGTCCGGGCAATCACTAAAAAACGAATGAAGATATTGACTTGAGATTTTCAGTGAAGGTAGAGGAAGGATTGCTAAATTGCTTTTTTGAGTCTATATATTTCCAGCGCAAAAGGCGTTGAAGCTCGCCTGAGCTCGTTATAATTATTATTTTTCTGACCATCAAATTTTGTGCACGTGATTTCTCGACGACAACTGGATGGATTTTTATGAAATTTGCAGGAACAATGTGTTGCTATCTGCAGTTATTATATCCTGGAGATTTTTCGGAAATTCCTTTCTGGTGCCAAGTTACGGACAATTTTCTGATTTTAAATTGACATTTTGTTCGCGGAAAATCTAAAGAACGGTAAAAGATATCACTGTGAAACTTTCAGGGATTATAGATCGTGATAAGTACAATCCAAGACGCGATCTTTTGTACGTCGTCTCTACTTCCTGTCGTAACGGCATGCAAAGAAAAAAAGTCAAATTTTTGAACTTTTTTGTTTTTCAATATTTTCAAATCATATTTGTATGGTTGATAGATACATTTCTCATTAGGCTAAATATATAAAAAGAAGGTACGTTAGGCACCAAAATCCGCCTAGTCCCAAAATCTGGCGATAATATTTAAATGATGTGTCTTGGATACCCCTGTTCTAAATCAATTTATTTTTTGAAAATATCTCAAACCGTTTTCCCTACACAACTCACTAAAAATGCCATGTTTTCTTAAGAAAATAACACTGACGACGTCATGACGTCGT